AAGTACATACAATTTATGTTTTATAGAAATCCATATATATATCTTTCTAATTTAAAATTCCATTCTAACATATCCCCCATTAATAATTTATAGACTTTTGCATTAATATTTGCTTCGATTTTCGCAGGGTACTGAGCTACGCAAGACGTCGAGCAGCTGCTGCGGGGAGTGCGTGCGGACGCACTGCCAGCACAACAATACCCTGTACGCGGTGGGCGAGTCGTGGCATAACGATGCCGACTGCACGCTGCTCGAGTGCGCGCGTCGGGACAATGGCGAGATAATAATCAATAGCTATAGGCGCACCTGTCCGCCGATCGATCCGAGCTGCCCGGCCGAGCGCATCTACAGGAATAGCTGTTGCTTCGTCTGCCGCCCGTTGGCCACGTCGCGGATCGAGCAGCTGGACGATGTCGAGGTGACCTCAGATATCTGGACAGCCGAGTGGTATCGCCAGCATTCGTGCCTGCGCGACTGTCAAGCCGGCGCCCCGCCCATGACGTGCCACTACACATTCGTGGTCGAATGGTATCAGACCTTCTCGAAGGCCTGCTACGACTGCCCACTGAATCTGACCGATTGCGAGCGGCCGCACTGCATCATGGGCGATGGACTGCAGCGCAGCATCACCGTGGTCAATCGCATGATGCCCGGTCCGGCCATAGAGGTATGCGAGGGCGATCAGATTGTCGTCGATGTCAAGAATAATCTGTTGGGCGAGAGCACCACGATCCACTGGCATGGCTTGCACCAGAAGAAGACGCCCTATATGGATGGCGTGCCGCACATCACTCAGTGTCCCATCTCGCCGCATGCCACATTCCGCTACAGCTTTCCGGCTGACAACTCCGGCACGCATTTCTGGCATTCGCATACGGGCATGCAGCGTGGCGACGGCGTCTTCGGGCCACTCATCATACGTCGGCCCAAGCAGACGGAGCCACACGGCGGCCTCTACGACTTTGATCTCAGCGAACATGTGCTGGTGGTGCAGGACTGGATACACGATACGGGCGCCAGCATCTTTGCCTTTCACCATCATTCCAGCGGCGACAATAAGCCGCACAATATACTCATCAATGGGCGTGGCAGGTACTACAATCGCATCTGGGCGGACATGAAGCGACAGCATCGCATGGCGACGAATGCAGCGACGACAGAGGAGCCAGAGGCTGGTAGCGATGAGCCTACTGCCAAGGCTTCAGCTTCGGGTTGGGACACGGGATCAGCTTCAGCTTCAGTTTCGGGCTCAACTTCAACTTTCACTCCAAACTCGGCATCAGCTTCGGCTTCGGCTTCAACTTCCGCTCCAGCTTCAGGCAGATCGCCTCAGCTCAAATCAGCTCGCCTTAACGTAAAGACTACTGATGCGTTCAATAATGAAGAAAAGATGTTAAGGGAGGATTCGGAAAATCTAGGTATGTAATCCCTAATCCCTATTTTTTAAAAGCGCGATTCGGCTTCCTAAATCTCTTTTTTTGATTACTTCTTTCATAATATCTACCTTACAAAATTCACCCATCTCTTTTCATATTATTTACCATAAAATATTCTCTCATATTGATTCCTCCTTTCATATTATCTACTTTACAAAATTCTCGCTATTTGTTGTCTCTTTACATATTAACTATTATTCAATATTCAACCTTTCAAAATTCTCTTATCTATTTTCCATATTATCTACTTTATGAAATTTTCTCTATTCTCATATTATATATGTATCTTAAAATATACTCTCTCTCTCCTTTTCTTATTATTAACCATACTATCTCTCCCCTTTCATATTATCTACCTTAAAATATTATCTCTACTTGATTCCTCTTTCCATATCATCTACTTAGAAATCATTTACAACTTCTTTACAACTCATACAGCTAGATCAACTCCATGTCCTTCAGCCTTCAGCTAGTCACTAAATATTACCCCATTACACGTTAATCATCTTCTAATTCCCTCTTCTCGCCCTACTCTAATTTCTCTTTAGCAACCACAACTGCTCCAGCAGCCACGCCATCAAATCTCATCCAACTGCTCTCCAGCGAGCCATTGCAGCCGCCGCGCAACAGCAGCGAGTCGTCGGCCGCAACAGTGGTTCATTCGCGTCCACGTCGTGGGAATCTGCAGGAGATCCCATTGGAGCAGATACCGCATCAGGTGTATCACGTGAAGCGCGGCTTTCGATATCGCTTTCGCATTGTGAACGCCGAGTATCTGAACTGCCCCATTGTGGTGTCTGTGGATGACCACATGCTGACCGCCATCAATTCGGATGGCTATGACATTGAGGCCATGGAGGTGGGCTCCATTGTCACCTACTCGGGCGAACGTTTCGACTTTGTGCTGAATGCCAATCAGGCGGTGAACAACTATTGGATTCGCCTCAAGGGTCTGATGGACTGCAGCGAGCGGTTTACGTCCGCCTTCCAGGTGGCCATATTGCGCTATGAAGGTGCGCCCGAGGCGGAGCCAAGCGCGGAGCTGCGCTACGATCACAATGCGACGGGCATTGAGCTGAATGTGATGAATCGCGGGCCGGGCTACCCGGATACCAAGACCGTGGCCGAGATGCGAGCCTTGCCCATATACGACTCCGTCTCGGGCATCGACGATGACACCCTGAAGCCGGAGGCCGACTACAAATTCTTTGTCTACTACGACTTCTATCGCAAAGACAATCCGGAATTCCATCACAGCGACTACTACAGCATGGCTGACAATGTGTCCAGGGAGAACATGTTGTACACGCCGCAGCTGAATCACATCTCGCTCAAGTTCCCATCGGTGGCTCTGCTGCCGCAACGTCATCAGCTGAGCGACGCGCTCTTCTGCAATGAGACGACGCTCGCCCAGCAGGGCATCGATTGCCGCGAGCAGTTCTGCAAGTGCCATCACGTGCTTCAGGTGCCACTGAATGCGGTCGTCGAGCTGATCATCGTCGACGAGGGCTTCACGTTCTATGCCAATCACCCGTTCCATCTGCATGGCAACGCGTTTCGCGTCATCGGGCTGGAGCGTCTGGGCGAGAATGTGACAATTGAAATGGTGAGTGAATACTTCCAATAAATATCCAAATATTCTATCAAATTTGATCAAATATTATTCCCATTGCAGATCAAGCAGTTGGATCAGTTTAAGCTGCTCAGGCGCAACCTGATCAATCCTCCGGTCAAGGACACGGTCACCGTGCCCGATGGCGGCTACACGATCATACGCTTCGAGGCCTACAATCCCGGCTATTGGCTCTTCCACTGTCACATTGAGTTCCATGCGGAAATCGGCATGGCTCTGGTGCTCAAAGTGGGCGACGATGATAAAATGGTGCCGGTGCCGCATAATTTTCCCACCTGCGGTGATTATATGCCCGATGGACGGGAGGAGACGTCGTCGACAGTTGATACATCCGAAAGCCCACCGACTCGAGTGCCACCAACAAAGGACATATCGGCTAGGCATTTGGCAACGGCTCTGCCCTTACTTGCTCTCATTTTACACCAACTATAGGGGATCCCCATTCACTAACCCAATGCTATCATGACACTGGTTCTGTTTTTACGTCACCTTAAATCACAATTTCAAACTAATTGCCATTCAGATTAGCTTCTTGAACAGCAGATCAATATCCATTGCCTGTTAAATTTAACAGTCATTTAACATTCACTTTATCTATGTGTCTGAATTTCATATTTATTATATTTTAACTTCTGATTAGCCTACCTTACTGAAAAACTATTCAAATAAGCAAATTGCTGTTCAATTTAACAGTCGTTTAACATTCAGCTTACCTACATTTAACATACACTTTAACAACATGTAATTCCATAGAATTTGTTATATCTTAACTTAGCTATTTGTTATACATATATTACATTATCATCTACTTAGTCTATATACAACTCTCCGAGTATTTTCCAAGCCAGTATTCATTATTTGTTCAGAGAATTTTTGAAATACTCATCTGACATGGCCTTAACTTAAATCCGTGCAAAACGAAATCTTGATTTTATGTGACTCAAAAGATTTACTTGGTTTCATTTTAACATAAGCATCTGTGATTGTCTACAACATTTCATTAGCTCTTAAGCGTAAAAATGTTCAACATTTTGTAAATAAATTATTAAAAGTATTTAAATAAAATGAAGATAACATTTCTTTCCTTTTTTGAACTTATTTAAAGATTGTTTTTGTGATGTTTTGACTTTTGGAATTTTTTTAATTTATTGAGAATAAAAAAGTTTTTAAATAATGGAGCTTCAATTTTCCATAAATTATTATTATAAATATATGTATGTATATTCCAGAAAATATATTTGCTAAAAGATATACATAATATTGACATCTCGCTCCCTTCTGCGGGAAATTGGGCTATTTTAATGTATTTGGGAGCAAACAGAATAACTTTTATAAAGGAAAAGATAAATATGTTACAGGAGGAGACACGGGATAATAACTATTCGTTTGATATAGTAAAAATTTCCCTTTACGAATAATTAAAAATTTTTTAAATATTCATCTCAATCTTAAGCCTTTCAAAAATAGAATAAATATTCATATAATAATAAATATTTAGAAGTATCTATATATATATAGACTTCAATTCTTCATGATGCAAATTGTCTTTATATTACAAAATCTGAAAGAGATTCTAGAAAATAATAGATTTAGGATTTGTGMATTTCTAAGCTGCGCAAAAGCTAAATAAACCTAGAAATTCTTCTCCTACGGACTTTGATAAGAATTAAGCAAAAACAAACATACGAAAAAAATGTCATCAAACCCTGCAATTTCAGCTTATCTGAGGTATTGTCGAAAAGCAAACATCTGGCCGCATGACCAATGCAGCTGACCTCTGACCGAACACCCCATGCAGGTTAATCAGCATTATAATAATATATGTGCCCCTGATATAGCAGACGATCAGCCTATAAAAGGCGCACTCCGAACTGCATTTGGCATAGCAATCTAGCAAGATGTACGACTGGTCGGGCAAGAATGTGGTTTACGCCGGTGGCTTCACGGGCATTGGATTCCAGCTGATGCATCAGCTGATGCAGCGCCAGATGAAGATGAAAATGCTTGGCATCATGCATCACATGGAGAACGTGGAGATGATGAAGAAACTGCAGGCGGAAAACCCCAGCGTGAAGGTCGTCTTCATGCAGGTGAATCTAATGGACAAATCATCCATTGAGCAGGCGATGACGAAAATGGGACAAATGATGGGCAACATCGATGTGCTGCTGAACTGTGAGGATGTGCTGCTCGACAAGGATGTGGAGACTACGATGGGCGTCAATTTGGTAAGCAAATGAGATCAGAAGATGCATCATAAACTAAATGTCTCTCTCTCTCTCTCTCGCTTTCTCTGCAGATGGGCATGATTCACATGACCATGAAGGCCATGCCCTATATGGACAAGACGCAGATGGGCAAGGGCGGCATGGTTATCAACATGTCCTCGGTCTATGGCCTGGAGCCGGCACCAGCCTTTGCCGTCTATGCGGCGGCCAAGCATGGCGTCATTGGATTCACCCGTTCGATGGGCGATAAGCGCATCCATCAGATGACCGGAGTAATGTTCATGGCCATGTGCCCAGGTCTAACCAACACCGAAATGATGATGAATCTGCGCGACAATGTCACCTGGAGCCATTCCGAGTCGATGGTGGAGGCCATCGAGAGTGCCAAGCACCAGACGCCCGAACAGGCGGCCACTCAAATCATGAAGGCCATCGACATGATGAAAAATGGCAGCATGTGGATCGTCAGCATGGGACAGCTGAAGGAGGTGAATCCACAAATGCACTGGCAAATGTAAGCCACACCTTAATATCGAACAATAAAGAAGCAGCTTTTGTTTTGTTGAAACAAAATCGGATGGTGCTTTGTGTATAAGGGATGAATATGGGATGACCTGAGATTACGATTGGTACTTTGATCTGCTAAAGACTAAAATTGAATTTGAATATTCAATTCTGACTTTGATAATGCCATTGGGTAATAATTGCAAATTTTCGTTTGAGATAGGAGCTAATATGAGTGAGATATATAAATACTGACTTATATTATGACTGACTAATATTTAATAATTTATACAAGATTTTTCAAACTACTTAACGTATATCGATCGAGAAAACTGGCATCCAAGCAGCTTAGCCCAATTATTCAAATCACTTAAATATTTTATATAATCAATATAATATAA